GAGACAAACCTTACCTACCTTTGTTACGATGGACTAAATATCCCCCCCCCTATCCCGACCCTGAATTCCTACCCTCACAAACCCTCCCACTGGGGCCACTGGGGTGACATGCCCCTCTATCTAATCAGATGAGATCATACCACATCGTTCCTGTCCCTGTAGAACGGGAAGTGATAACCGAGCCGAACCAAACATTAATGATATCCTTGTTCGAGTCGATTAGAATCCATCTATCCATCTCCGATCTAGATTCTGCTCCCGTATGTGTGTGTTGTATGTAGATGGTGTGGGATGGGATTAGGCGTTCCGTTTGTGCGGTTGTGGTTGTGGTTGTGGTTGTATGCTTAGCTTGCGTGAGGGAGATGCTGCTGTGCTGTGCTGTGCTGTGCTATGCTATTCACACTGTGCTGTCTTGTGCTGTGTACACTGTGTGTAGCGGAGCAGAGCAGTGCTGTACTATGTACACTGTGTGTAGCGGAGCAGAGCGGTGCTTTACCATGTGCCATGCCTCTGGGAATCCAGCCTAGCCTACTTTCCAGGCCTTGGCTTGGATGTCACTTATAGATGTAGTATTAGTATCGGGGGGAAGGTGGATAGGTGAATACGAGGAGGTAGGTATTTCGGTAGGGAAGTAGTAGGCCTACTGTTCAGGTGGGTAATGATAACTTAACTTGGGCTAGGTCACAGTGAACAAGTACAGTAACCCTTAACTTAACTTAGTTAACTTACCCATAAGTTACCCCTGCGCTGCTGGCGCAGGGATCAGGGATCCCTCTCCCGCTTGTTTTCCCTGTCCTCCCTTCTCCTGCGGTGCGCTGCTCTGGCTGTACCCAACTGTTACTGTTACTGTTATTGTCACTGTTATTGTCACTGTCAAGGGAGGTGGGAGGTGGGAGGCGGGAGGTGCGATGTCCCTTGATGAGTCTATCTCGGATCTGAGGTTTACGATTTAGAGAAGATATGTACTGTACTTACTTACTGTGCTGTACTGTACAAAACTGATGGACGGGTTTATAGAGTACTGTACATCCCCGTCACCAGGGGACTTTCAATCTACCCAATCACCAGGGAGAGTTCGATTGATAATAGGTAAGGTAGATAGAAACTTTGTTGTTGACGGTAATGATGATGATACACGCAGACCTCCGCCCTGCCCCCCGACTCTCAACCATAGAAACCAACTCAAAGTACGAAAACGGGAATCTTACAGGCCATAGATAGTCTTGTAGACGGAAGAAGATAGACACAGGATGCTAAGACGACAAGAAAAAGAATTGTATCAGAAAAAGTGGGTGGTTTAAAGTTGAATCAAGGCTTTGAATCAGAACGTGATTAAAATAGACGCGTCTCTCATTCATACAGGTCGTTCAGTCCCCCCTTACTGCCTCGGTTCCGTGATCACGCCTTCGTAATCCCGGGATCGGATGTATTCCAACGTGCGTTGGAAGTGGCGCTTGGGGCCCTCGAGGCTGGGGTTGGGCTCGTCCTTGTCGGTCTGGAGGTTGGAGTGGATGAGCTCGATCAGCCCGTTCAGATATTTGGTGGTCACGGTTTCGTTCTGCTGGTCGAAATAGTACACGTAACGGTTCAGGATCTCGACGAAGAGTTCCACGGACACGGCCGTGTCCATGCAGGCGTCGGCGACGCGGAGGGCCCGCTGCAGGCATTCGAGGACGCGCTTGCCGTCACGGTAGAGCTATCACATTATCAGTTTAGTGGTTTCTTGAGATGGAACAGGAGTCAGCGCAGGCAACGTACGTTCTTCAGGTCTTCCTCGCCCCGTTGCGGGTTCTCCACCACCCACCAGAGATGGCTGGCCAGATAGACGGCGCGACATTGATCGGGCTTCTTGAGCAGCTTGCTGCCGTGGAGCGCCGCCTTGGTGATGAGGGTGTCGTAGTTTTCCTTCGAGAACCCCCGCGTGCCGTGAAGCGCCCCGGCAATGATGCAGACGGCCTGGAACTGCGCGCGGGAGTCGCTGATCGAGTCCTCGTAGATCGTAAACGCCTGGGCAAAGAACTCGTAGCTGAACTCTTCGAAGCCCGTCTGATCGGCCACCTCGCCGCACATCACAAACAGCCGCAGCGCTAGGTCGGCGCATCCGGGGTTCACGCGTTGGTAGAGGTTATTGACGCATTGATGCATGAAGCGGTACAGCGCCGAAGACTGCGACTGCCAGTTGTCATCGTAGTGCTCGCGAGCCTTGAGTTTACGCGCCAGGCGTATCGACGAGGTGATTAGGGCTGGTGTGGTGTAGCGGATGCGCTCGTTGCCGTCGAGGTAAGCTTTTCGCGTCGCTTGTAGAAGCTGCAAGATGCATTAGGGCACTGTCGTGAGAAGAGAAAAAACGAGGGACAAACCTTCAACTGCGTATCATTGTCGTCTGCCTTGATCAAATGTACCAATCTCGCAAGCCACCCTTGCTCCTCAATGGTCTCCTCCGTCTCCCCTCGTCGCTGAGACCCAGGGTAGCCCATGGATTGCTGGGTCCCTTCCTTGATCAAGACTCTTAGAGCCTGCAGAACACGGTCGAGGTTCTCTGTGGTGGTGATCGTGGTTCCGTTCTTGAGGAGGCTGCGAGCGATCTCGCCCGCGACAGATCGCCGCGTGGGGTAAGACTGGGTGGTCAGAAGTGGGATGTAATGAGGCAAGGCCAAGGCCGTGAAGATCGAAACGTAAGAGCGGAGGGGAGCGGTGAGAAGTTGCAGGAGATTTTGCTGCGTAGGAGCGGAGTGCAGGTCGGCGTGATCGGTATAGGCGGCGGTCTCTTTCGCCGCGAAGTCAAGGACCTGGTCGACGTATTCCAAGTGGTCGGGGTAGGTGTTGAGCGCTAGATTGGCCAGCGACAGAAGAAGCGCCATGGTGTCTTGAATCGGGAGGCCGCGGCTCTTGATCAGGTTGACCACTTGATCATAGAAAATGGCATACAGCTTGACATCGTCAGGGATGGCCTCGGGTGCCTTTGCATCGCCATTCGCTGGTTTCCGCTCGCCTTCCTCCGCCGTGTCGCTGTCCTTCTTGGCCTGCTCGACACCATTCTCCTGGGCTGCCTGTGCGTCGGTCGCCGGCTCCTCCGCCTTTGTCTCTTCGGACACCTTGAGGTTCTCGAGCAACTTGGTAACAGCCTCTTCCTCCTTCAGCTTGCGTGCCTCCGGATCCGCGGAAGCCTCTCTCTCGCGGGCAGCATAACTCGAGAGGCGGTCCATCAACCCGATCACGATCTTCTTCAAGTCCACATGCGGGTTGAGCCGAGAGATCGCCGAGAGCAAGAGGTCCAAGGTGTGCAGATGGAACTCGTCCGGGAAGACCTTTGTGATGACTTCCAGCAGATACTCCTGCGCCAACACATCCCGACATTGCACGACCTGTTCCAGCAGCGCCTGCAGGATGCCGGACTTGTAGCCCTCAAGATCGACCAGCTGACTGAGGCGCACGACGTTGCTGCCGACCAGCAGCTCCAGCTCGCGGCGCTCCTGCATGCGCTTCTCGCGCTCGCGGGACGGGCCCTGGTGCTGCAGACGCACCCACAGCTTGTTCATCTCCACGAAATTGGTCAGGACGAAGTTGATCGAGTCCTGCAGGTTGCCCTCGGGCCCGTCCCCGGCGCTCGTCGGCAGGTGATCCCGCGCCTGGCCCGACAGGTAGTACCGCAAGAACAGGCCGCGGATAGGGTGCTGCACGCCGCGGCTCATCTCCATCATGTCCTTCATGATCTCCTTGACAGGGGCGTCCTCCACGGACATGTACACCGTCCCGACGGTGATCATGAGGTAGAGTCGCGGGATGATGTTGCCGGCATATTGGACGAGCTCGTACAGGTCGGCCAGGTGGTTGACCGGGTGGTTCTCTTTCAGGTATACGGAGAGGTGTCGCAGGGCGTCGAAGACCGCCATATATAACTCGTAGTATTGCTTGGGGCCCAGACTAGGGGTGCGGAGCTCGGAAACTAATGTAGACCTGTCGATAAACAAGGGAGGTGTAGGACTGAGTTAGCTGGTTTGTTGCTTGTGCGTGTTGCGCGATGCTTTGGTGTTCGCACGTTCAATTGGTCTTCCCATTGCTGCCTGGGGAGGAGGGGAGCTCACCCGCATTTCAGCGCATCCATTAATTTGCCGGGGGTCTCTAGACATTTCCGCATCATCTGCGACTGTTGACGCACCACGCCCAATGCCTCCTCGAGGAGACGAGTCTGGTCTTCGGGGGGTGCTACCGGGGTAGCCATGTTTGTTGCTTTATGTGGATGGGGAGGCGTGAAGGAAGGAGGGGGGGGGGATGATTCGAATTGGTGTTGAGAAAGTCGGAGCGGTAAACACCTGGCCGGAAAGGGGGAGGGGAGTCCGGAGCAAGGGTTTCAATGACGGAGATAGTGGGTTCGTTAGATGCGCGAAGGTGAGCACACGAGATTAGACGGCTCCTGGTCGATAGACAGGAGAATCGAGGGTGGAGATGAGCAAGAAGCCGGGGAAGGTGAATGCGGACATGCGATCAAGACTGGGAGACTGACTGTACCCGGACAGTCAGTTTAAGTTAAGTCAGTAAATGAATGGGCTGGGCTCGGGTTATGTAAACGAACCGTCCGGCGGGATCGTACGTCACGGGGGCACGAGGCAAGCTAACCGCTCTGGGTTTCTTATCATGATTCGGATCAATCATTCTATACACTCGATTCCACAATTCCCTTCTATTGACCCCAACAGAACTCAAACACTCTATCTACCAGCGCATACATGTACTGCTCCACCCACATCTAACCAATTGTATGTGACAGAAAGAGCTAAGTACAGTACAGTAGTAATTATCAAGCCACCGCCAAAAACAAATACCCATAGTACCATAAACCATAAAATCATAAAACCATAGAGCCGCAACGCCCCAGATATGCCAATCCTCATGAATAACGATCGTCATGCCAGTCATGACACATAAAAACCGGGACCATATACCATAAATCAACAAGAAAAAGGGAACGCTTGCTTGCCATGTACCGTGTATCGTAGCGATCGCATTGGATCGCACCAGTCATGAAAAAACCATATACTTAGTGAGAGAAGAAGCCAAGAAGGAGAGATCCTTCAGAGATAACTCAGTAGTCAGCCGCCGTGCCGTTCCGAGCGTGCAGAGAGGTGCCGTTCAAGCTTCGGGCGAAGTGCTTGGTAGCAGCCTCGGTGGTGTTGGTTGCGCGCTTGGTCGCGTCGGACGGCCCCGCGGTGTTGTTGAAGTTCTGAGGGGCGAGCTTCGCGTCGTCGGTGGTGAGTGCACGTCTCGCGAAGGCAGCCGCATGCTCAGGAGCAAGATCCTCGCGGGCCGGCTGGGTCTCATTGGCGCTGCTGCCGGTGTGCTTGCTGGCTGCTTCGGTGCCGGTGAGTGCGCGTTGGGTCAGAGCCTTGGCGGACAGGTCTTCGTCCTTGTGCTCGGCGTGATGCTCATGCTCATGCTCGGTTCCGTTGTGGTTACCCAAGGAACGGGGCAGAGTGTCGTTGCTGCGCTTGGCCACTGTGATGGAATCCTCGCTGGCGCGGGTTTCGGTGACGGTGGTGTTGGCCTGCGCATGGCGACGGTGGTGGTGCTCTGTGCTGTTGAGTCCACGCACCGCAAACTGGGGCCCGGGGTGGGGGATGCCTGTCACCCGAGGACCGACACTCCAAGAGGAAAGAGAGAAAGGCTCCAGAGCTGGGGTGGAGGAAGGATATTCAGTGACGGTCACCGTCACGGGAGGCGAGGGCGTGGCGGTGACTGTCTCGACGGTGGGAGCGGCAGTGCCGGCGACGTCGACGACCTTGTATGGCAGTTCATTTCTGCGAGCAATGGTGTCGTTTGCTTGGGAATGGAAGACCGGGACTGACTGGGCAGTCAGGGAGAGAGCGAGAAGCAAAGCGGCGGTATACATGTTGGTGTGCGATGTGTAGGGTTGATGTTGGGTATGGTTGAAGAGCTTGACCAGAGGGAGGAAGAGGCACAAAGACGTTTCTGCTTTGAATATCGAAGACACTGAAATGTCTTACACTGGTATCTCAGTGATGAATTGAACTAGAAGAGAGCTAGAAGCCAAAGCTCGAGGGAACCGATTCATTTATCACTTGGATGGAAACCGTAGAAACACACACCGATCCACCACAGGGGCCCTGGAACTGAAGTTGGTAGCCTAAAAAACATAGAAAATCGAAGAAGAGAAAACGAAAAAAACAAAAAAAGGTCCACCAGGACCCAGAGAATTAGATCTTTATTCCATCATAGACGGCACGCCGGGCCCAGTGGGCGGGAGATTAAAGTGCAGGCTGGCGCATCCTCGTTGCTGTCAAAGGAGGCTGGGAAAGTGGGAATGGAGCCCTCATTGCCAGCCCCGTTGGTTTTTGGGCGATTGGCAACTGACCCTGCACCACGCTTAATTTTAGTACGAGTCAGGGAAATCTTGGCAAGGCACATGCAAATCCAGAGGTCGCTCAGAGAGTCAGAGCAGTGTTTGACTACATCACAGCACGAATTGAACAATTCGATATGCGATATGCGATATGCGATATGCTGGATGCTGTATAGACCTAGAAGGTGAAGAGTGTTTGTTTTCGATGTGGCTGGGCAGCGGGCACACGGGCGGCTGTGGCAGATGACGTTGTTGTTATTCGACAGTTGACGGGCGGTGGGCCGAGGATCTGCCGCTCCAGAACGGCTGCATTGAAGGTTGATCACCTTTTTCTTAACTACACTACCTACACTACAAGCAACAACTCACAGTTACACAATGTTGATCACAAGTCCAAATTCCCCCCCCCCCCCCTTACGACTATCACCGCCTCTATCAATCAACTAACAGTCTCCTCGACTATGCCGTCTCCCCAGCATGTTCTCTGCGGTGTAGATCCTCATCTCCTACGTCATGAGAAAACCGCGATATTGAGGGATATACTTCGCTTCTCGGGGTGCTGATCAACCGGGTGATGTGGGTGTGTACTGAGATTCTATTCTTGACAGAGGCGGTGTCTTGATCAACACTCCCAATCCACCAGGAGGTTCCAATGAAAACACTTGCCATGACCCACACATGGTCAGGGACACCATGCACAGTACACAGATAGGTTGTCTACCGTACATAGTACATCGGCTACTATGTCACCCTGGTCAAAGGGCACATACCCGCACAACTAGACGAGCAAATTAGCTTGGTTGAGTGGGTCTGGTGGAAGTACAGCTGTACTATTGAGGTAGGGTCTTGAGGTATTGTTGTGTTCTGTTGTTCCATTTATAGCCTGTGCCTATCTTGCGTAATATGCAGTCCAGCTCTGCGGGCATGGATGAACCTTCGTGGCTTATGGGGGCTCAAGCCGTGACCGTAGTTGAAGCGCGGCTCGTCGATCCGCCTATAGTCAGCGGTAGGCGAAGAGTTAAATCCCATGCAAGATTTCGTGTCGTTTGCATGCACGCCCGACATGTGCAGAGCTCGGCTCGGCAGGGTCTACGTAATGCGTCCGTCGGGATGAACTGTCCACAAGAGGCGGTGTCGTGTCCTACTCGGATCCGATCTTCGGCTCCTCGTCGGTCGAAGACGAGCCCGTTTGCACAAGAGGATGGAACTGACTTCGCGCAGTGAAAAGCTAAAACTAGCCTCAAGACAGAACCAGGTCCTCGACTCGGACCAAGCCACATCCCAAGCCCGCGGCAGCCCATCCGGCGCATGCTTGGTTGGGATTCCACGAAAGCGCAGTAACGTGCGTTTCCTCCTCGTAGATCGTGATCATCGCCATGCCGTTGACCAGCTTGCGATCCCCGATCAGGTTGCGCAGCAGGCTGACACTCTCGGCGCGGTATCCGTCGTAGAAGCGACTGACCCCCGTGCCGGTGTCGTGCGGGCCACGCACCCATTCATGCTGGAACCAGTTCTGTTGCCATTGCTTCTCCTTGGAGTGCAGCACCCGCCGAAGCGGGTTGGTGGCTTGCACCGTGCCCCCCACGCAGCCAAACAGGACGCTGGGATGCCAGTAGCTGCACGGCGCCAGCGCCGAGATGGGGCTTGGCAGTCGGGCGACTGCGGTCGAGGTGTAGAACCGCCGGACGGCGAGCAGACGGGCGAAATCGTTCTCGTCACTAGAGAGGAACGATTGCAGCGGCGGGCAGTACGAGAGATGGGTCGAGCCCACCCGCATGCGATTCGTATACACCTGGTCCTTGGGCGGGTCGACGACGGACGTAAGCCTGGTGTCGCCGTCCATGGAGGTAGTGGCTATCAGATGGGGATACGTAGGGTAGGCGGATGAGATGTTGAGAACCCAGGTGGAGTGAAGTGCTTGGTAAAAGTAAGGGGCGGGACTCGAGGACGAGTTCGAGGACGGCGCGATGCTCCAGATTGCGACATACCCGTTGGCACAGCCGACGGCAATATCGCTTGGAGAGAGCCATGTCACGCATGTACAAACAGTCGATGGGGGCTTCGCCTCGAAGATCGTGGAATGTACCTGATCTAGGAAGGGGGGTTCAGTATACCGACAGCCACCAAAAGGACAGGAGCAAAGAACCTACAGAATTCAGCTTTCTTGGTATCCCGGCCGACTTTCACGTCGATGACTCGCACATAACCATCGGTCCAGATGCCCGCCAGAAGCCCCAGGGTCTCGCGCTCGTCCTCGTCGTCTTCGTCTCGAGGACTGCGAGGCATAGGACACCAGGCCAACCGGCGCAAATCGCCCCAATCCGTACACAGCGCCAAGCGCAAATGCGGCCGAAATCCCAGATCGATCTTCCGCGCCAACGTCTCAGACTCTTGAGCCTGGAACGCCCAGATCTGCAGAGCGCAGGGATAGGGCGCCGAGGGCCTGAACGCCGGCGCGGCCTGATCCTTCAGCGGATCGGGGACCTTGGCCTTCTGGTCCGGTAGAATCGGGGCCACGACCGCCAGATACTGCGTGCGACCCAACTGATTCGGCGCCCAGGCCAGACATTGCACTTTGCTCCCGAAGTTCAGCAGCCACCCCTCGCGGACTTTATGGCAGCCCGACCCAGCCTTGGCTTTGCTGGCCCACGCGTCGCCGAAATCGAGCACCTGATGCTGGCCCAGCGTGAACTCCTTCTGGTCATCCACGGGCCCCAGGAGAACGGTATGATCCCCGCGCGAGCGAGCCAGGTACTTGCGGCGCGCGGCCGCCTCCCCGAGCTTCGCCACGCGCTGCCGCAGCCGGAACCGCTCGCGGACCGCGTCGGTATAGTACCAGTCCCAGCCGCGGGCGCTCTCCAACTTCAGAAGGTCGGGCTCGACCCCAAAGGTCAACCCATAGCCATAGTCGGCGCCGTCCCTCACCCTCTGCAGCGCCTCGCGGGTCGGAAACGTCGAATCCACCCCGCCACCCCACCGCTCGCGCGCGTAGATCATCGCCAACAGATCCCTATTGTCCGTCCCGAACATCACCCGCAGATGTACCGCCTTGCCCACATGTTCGAGGGGGTTGAACGAGCCGCGCGAATGCGTCGCATCGCCGGTCAGCAGCAGACTGCCATCCGGATGTCGTCGCTTAGGTGTTCTAGAGTTGGCGGCGGCGGCGGCGCCAGCACCAGCACCAACACCAACACCAGCAGAGGTACCACCAGCCTTGCGTGACTTCCGACGAAAAGGCCCGCCACCAGCAGTAGCAGTCCTCGCCCCCACATTGCCTCCAGCTTCACTACCATCCTCCTCGTCCTCATCACCCTCGACCTCCTCCGCCTCTTCTTCATCTCGGAACTCCTCGTCGTCATCGTCATCATCCTCAGAGTTCCCAGCATCCGGCATCTCAAAGTCCTCATCGGAGGATTTATCGTTCACGGCCGCGAACGCGCGTGTGCTCCTCCCTTTCCCTTTCCCCTTGTTCTTGTTCTTGTTCGTCTGCCTCTGCCTCTGCTGCTGCGACGCCGCTGCTACCGATGCGTCACCTCCACCACTATCGCCCTGTTGGCCCTCTTCCGGGTCGTTGTCGTTATTGTCATCGCTAACTCCGGCGGCCACGAACGGGTCCTCTATATATTTCGTTCTGGCGCCGGAGGTGCGATTGCTTCGGCGGGGATGGGCCATGATTGTGTGGGTGATGGGGGTCGAGTTCTTCGGTAGATTAGGTAGGTAGGCAGCTAGGTAGGTATGAATGTGGTGGTGGTAGTTCTGCGCGGGGGATTTGGTTGTGAGGTTAGGTCAGTTGTCTGCCGAAAGTCCCTTCAGTCGGGTCGTCGCATTGCGGATCTCAGGGCCAAGTCACGGCTCAACTGAGTTTGTGCTTGGGATAGTCGCCGAGTTATGTTATAGCAGATGAGGCCTCATTGCTGTGGGGAGTATGTTAAATTATTTTGGGGTCATGAGTCAAAGCGAAGGCGAGTTTGTGCAGTGCAGTGGACGAGAAAATATGCGCCGGATGAATCGCTCGGGGGGGGGGCGCCCGCGCGAGTAATGCTGGTTACCTGATTGGGTTAGAGGTCTTGGCGGAAGGGGGGGGGGGGTAGTTTGGGAGGAGCTATGAGTTCAAGGTTGAGGTATCAACATAGGTACTATCTACCTAGGTATGAGTATGAGTAGGATGATTTGGGGATTTTGACTGGTATGATAAGGAAAGATGTAATGAGAGATGTCTGTACTGTCTGTACCCCGCTATTGCCCGGTAAAAACTAAGAATGACTGGCTCTACACTAATGCACTGGATCGCAATCCGAACTGACAGCTCCGACCTTCTACACCCGAATCGGGGCTGGAACCCCGCCCTGGCCCAGTGACCGCATCACCACCGGGTCGTCCTCCGTCGATAACGATAAGTCCTCCAACTACTGAACCGACCCGGATTACCTGCTTTTACCAAACAATCCTACAAAATCATCCACACCACCGCCATCAACCAGACAACACACTCACACTCACACACATACAATCACCATGTCTTCCCCGAACCACTCACCCCCCGGCATTCTCCACGAATACGTACGTCCACCCTAAACTCACAAGCCCCCCAAGCCCAACCCCCGACCTAACACTATACTACACAAAAAGGCTCCCCACCTCGTCGCCTTCGAATTCAGCTCCCCCACCAACGACCCCAAGCCCAACACCCTCCTCTTCATCGGCGGCCTCACCGACGGCCTGCACACGGTCCCCTACGTCCACACCCTGGCGCAGACCCTGACACCCAAAAGCACATGGAGCGTCTTCAATCTCCTCCTCAGCAGCTCCTACAGCGGCTTCGGCACGGGCAGCCTCGACACCGACGTCGCCGAGATCGCCCAGTGCATCGAGTTCATCCGCACGCGCCTGCCGCACAAGGCCGCCGGCAAGATCGTCATCATGGGCCACTCGACGGGCAGCCAGGACGTCCTGCACTACCTGCACTCGCAGCAGCCCCGAAACCGGCCGGCGGTCGATGGGGCGATCATGCAGGCGCCCGTCTCGGATCGCGAGGCGCTGCTGGTCAAGATCCAGGAAGCCGACGGCTTCCAGAAAAATGAAGTGCGGGGCGCCTACGAGCAACTCGTGCAGATGGCGCGCACCGGGCCCGCCAACTTCCTCCTGCCCATGGACTTGCTCGCCCGCGTGGGATTGCCCGAGAATACGCCGGTCACGGCGGCGCGGTTCTGGAGCTTGGCCAGTCCCGACAGTCCCCAGCGGCCGAGCGCGGATGATCTGTTCAGTTCGGATCTGGGGGATGAGAGTCTCGCAGCGACGTTCGGGAAGGTGGCGGAGAGGGGTCTTTTGAATGGGAGGCTGATGGTTCTGTTCTCGGGGGCGGACGAGTATCTTCCCCCCTGGGTGGATGTGCCGGGGTTGATGGGGAGGTGGAAGCAGGCCGTGAATGGTGGGGGGCAGAATATCTGGGATAATGAGGGCAGTGCGGCCATTGAGGGGGCGAGCCATAATGTGAGTGACGTTGGGCAGGAGGAGCTGGTGCATCGGGTCAGTCGGTTCTTGGAGAGAGTTGAGAAGCCAACCTAAACGCTGTGGAGAGTTATCTGCACCGATATCTTTTCACTGAGCCAAGAGCCAAGGGGGGGAGGAGAAGTTCTAAAAATGTACATACTAGAAGAGGGCGACAACGGGAATTTTGACGACAAGAATAGACAACGGAGGGTATAGTTAGATGATAGATGGTAAGAAAAAATGATCAAAGTCGATAAAGTCAACCCCCAAAAAACAGAGCAGTCGGGAAACAAATGCCCCAATCCCCCTTAAAACAGAAGACATCTCTCGAAAAGCATCCAATTAAACCTTCAACCACAGAGTCATCACCCCCTTCAAATACTCGACAATCTCATGCCCGCCCAACTTACTCTCCCCGAACAAACGATCCACGAATGTGATCGGACACTCGGCGACCTTGAAACCCATCGCCTTGGCGCGGACCATCATCTCCATCTGGAAACTGTACCCCTTGGACTGGGTGCTGTGGATGACCTTCTCCAGCACGCTCTTCTTGTACAGGCGGAAGGAGCCCGTCAGGTCGCTGACGCCGGGCATGAGCATGACGTCGGCGATGAGGTTGGCCGTGCGCGAGGTGAACTTGCGGAACAGATCCCAGCCGTAGACGCCCCCCTTGATGTCGCCGCGGGCGGCGTAGCGCGTGCCCGTGACGATGTCCGCGTCCGTCTCGCGCTGGATGTCGATCATCGTCGGGATGAACTTGGGGTGGTGGCTGAAGTCCGCGTCCATGATGATCACGTAGTTGCCCGTGCAGAACTGCAGCCCGTGGATGTACGCCGTCCCCAGCCCCAGCTTGCCCGCCCGCGGCTTCAGGATGATGTGCTCCGCGCCCCAGTGCTGCTGCAGCTGTTTCGCCACCTCCAGGGTGCCGTCCGGGGACCCGTCGTCCACGATGATGACTTCCCAGTTCAGGTTGCTGTTTTTTGGGGGGGCCGGGTGGTCAGTTTTGTTTCTGAGGACTTGGGGGGGTGGAGGGGAACAGGATGTGGGGTGGGAAGGTAGGTAGGTAGGGGAGAAGAGGAGGTTTAAGGGAGGCGAGGCGAGGAAGCTACTCTCCATTGGAGATAACAATGGGAGAAAGATGATCGATGAGAATGGGGGGAATAAACGCACTTCTCGCGAAACGTCCGCTCCAACAACCAACAAATGATAGGGAGGTTCTTCCGCTCATTGTAGGTCGGCAGGATGACCGAGTACTTGTTCGTCGAGGCACCCATGATTCTGTTCTGTGAATGTTGCCAATAAATGATCCGCGAATAGGTCAAGAAATTCGATCCGTGCTCCAAGACACAGAGAATAGATAGATAAGATCAGGAAGGGACAAGGAAAAAGGAGTGAAGGTCAGCAAAGTGCTGGGGAGAGGAGGAGTAAGAGTGAAAGAGTGAAAGCGCGCGGCGCGGGCTGGACTTGGCGACGAGGACGGACGGACGACTACTGACTGGTGCGGGAGATCCGCATTCGCATCCATTCAACGTGGCCAGTCCAGGAGTACCAAGACTAAAGACTGTCCAGTTGTTTCACCCCTCGGTTCAACTGGCTAACTTAGCTTGCCGTTCCTGCGGTCGTCGTCGTTTTACATCGCTTACAGCTGCACACCCTCACTTCTGCCCGCAGTTGATTATTCAGTACTTTCAAGAACCAAAAAAAGACAATAAAAAATAAGAGCAAGAACTTTAATCCGTGAGATCCGTTAAGGTACATAGAAATACATGGACAATTCGTCTCTCAATGCGCTACAACTCTCAACCTTTACTTATTTCTTCACCTGGTTATACGCGTGATCGTACCGTTGGTCCATCTCCTGGTTGTGTCTCTTGACATCCTCCGATGCGTTGTCTCCCACTGTTCCATCGATCTCTGCATTGGGCGAATTCTCGCCGTCCGTGATGGTCGGTTTGGCCTTGTTGGATGGTGTGGTCTTGCTGTGACTCTTGTTTTCGACGCCAGTGCCAGTGCCATGACCGGTGTCCTTGCTGCCACTGTTGTTGCTAGACTGCTGGGACTTCTTCGACGAACCACCACCAACGTCTGGGGCGGGCGGGCCTATTGTGACGAAGGCATCAGTTCATTCTATTCCACATCAAAGTGCTTTGTTTGTTATCCTTAAAGGTAAAGCTACTCACCCGGATGCTCGAGGTCTCGAGTAGGCTCGTTGCGGGAGGTGTTGGGCTGTTCAGCCTGGGTCTCGCCCTCGCCGCCGTAGGAGCTATGAGCGTAGCCGCGCCAGGGCTGGACGCTCTTGGAAGTGGAAGTAAGACGCGATGCCGGTCGAATGAAGGGAGAGTAGCTTGCACGAAGGGATAGTCTGCTGCTGCGAAGTATGGAAGCCATGATGCTGGTCTGAGGTAAGATGACTAGTGACACTAAGGTAAAGAAGGTGAGAACAATAGGTAATGTACAATTTAGAATTGCGTTCGTTTAGATATTGATCCAGGATTTGATTAACTTCAACACCTTAGGGACTGCCTGCCCACTTTATTTAGTAGCAGATGGCTTAGTCGCCCCCGGATGATCAAGTGGTGATCGACTTCGAAGGGGAGGTGGGTTGCAGACGATGACGTTTGCATCCGGTCATCTTCCCAAACCCCAACCCGACCATTGCGCAACCACTGTTGCATCGCCCCTAGCTAATTCAAGCACGTAAGGGCGCAAAAGAATTGTGAATGTGAGGTTAATGGCTTGTAGCACAGTCCACGAAGAGGTTGTTTCCGCTTCGCACCCGCCTAAAGCAAATAGTAGATTCAGACCATATTACCAGAACATGTCGAAATGCCAACCAAATTCTCAACGAGAACATACCCACCCTTAAGGAGGGGTCAAAGTAAAAAAAAAGTAATGATGAAGAGGATATCCGGTTCCTGGACATACGCAGGCCTTATAAACAGAGATTAAACGAAAGAGTCTCCTGGCCGCAATGTACGCTGTCCTTCCTTGCACCGTTTGAACCCCCTTCCCAATATAAACGCCCAAAAAAAAGCCTTCGAAACTATCCAGAGCGATGCAGAAGCGGACGGCGATTTGTCGGCCGCATTAGATTGAAACAAACAACCACCGGGACAAATAAGACCCAGCTGGAATATATAATATGCACGCCATAAGATAACAAAATGTATTGGAACATCCTTCATGCCCAAGGTGAAAATGAGGTAGGTTAACCTTGAGAGACTAATCAAACATTCGTATGCACGTAAAGAGCTGGATGGAAGCGGCCCCCTCAGTTTTAGTGACGCCAACGCCTTCGGTTCCGCAGACAAACAAGAGCTTCGTTATAGGCTGGCAGCCCAGAGATGCCAGATCGGCTATATCAATCGGTCAATGACACGCAGTAGCAAACGCTCTGGTACTCAGCCTTCGCTGTATATGTTTGTGTTGAGCCAGTGACTTGGATCGTTGTTGTGGGAGTAGGCTGTAACTCCTTGACCTGGACAGTCTCCTGGGATATGGGACCGACTGACCCGTCATCAAGCACTTGCATCTGTTGACAATAAGGACTAGGGGCACCGGGGTATTCTCGTTTCTCCTCCATCTTGATCCGGCGGGGATAGTCGGATACTGCATCCCGCTTAGAATTCGTGTTTGTGTTTGAACTGGAACCGGAGCCGGAACTGGAACTGGACCCCGAACCCGAGCTCGAGCCAGAGCCTGAATTCGAGCTCGAGCTACCTCCCGTAGCATGAACGTAACTCGATGACGTGGCGGTCGCGCTGTATTGGGCATCCTTAGTGGTCTCGTTGATGTACAAGAAGAATTCGATTATGGTACTGTTCCACCAGCAGAACCACGGCTTATCTCCTGCTTTGGCTACATCCTTGCGAACAAGCATGGTAGCCAACAGTTCATCCTCTGACAATGAGCGTTTCGATGACGCGTGCGTTGGGAATGAGTCTTGAGGCACCACGACCAGCTTGTCGAAGGTGGTCCAAAAGTGCAAAGCGGGCCCGAAACTGGCATCGTTGAGATCATATGCCATTGAAAGATTCTGTGTCGGGTTGGAAAGAACCGGTGCTTGAGCTCCATAGCTAAGACTTGACGAGTACGTAGTATCTTCAAACGTGATCGAACGTTGGCCGTCTGTGTCTCCAACAGCGACAGGGATATCTCCCGAATTCATGCAGGACCATGTAACTCGGTAATCCGACTCCGCAACGCAAAATTTGGACTGGTTCTTCGGAGACGCCGGAATAACGTACTGGCCAGTAGGCAGGGCCAGCAAGTTGATCGGAGTAGAGGTAACCGGAGTCGCGTCCATCTTGGGGGTAGCAGTTGACGTGACAATATGCGGGCCGTTGGGCTGCTTGTGTTCCTGATCCGCTGCCTTCTTCGCCCCGAGCACACCGCCAATGACACCTCCAATGCATCCTCCAACAAGCATTACCACCCCCACCAAAACAATCGTCCAGATTGGTAGTCCGCAGCAGGCCTTCTTTTTACCTTTTCTCTTCAATTTCTCTTCAAATGCCATAATTCCGGTCAGCGGGGGCTCTTCCGATTGTGAGTTACTTCGTGCAGTCATCCGGTTTGGTTCCTCCAAAGGCACATTAGTCGATGTAACCTCCGACATGGGTGGACCTGCACGCTCATTGTGGAGGATCTCGTCCGACGTGATGCCAGCATCGTTGACGGACGCAAACGTCCCCTCTACCTTGGGGACGGCATTTTCAGGATAGCGAGAGTAAGGTGGAAGCTGTTCGGTGTGTCCGTCGGGGCCAATTAGATCCCCGACGTCATCATCGGCCCGACCGGGCGGTCGTTGGTAGGCTTGATTGTGGCCGGGAAAGCCAAGGGGGACCATGGAGTTGTCCATCATAGGAGGTTCTATCATCGAATTGTCCAGGGCACTGTCCATGCCTTCCTCCGGAACCACATTTTGGGTGTACATCGCATACGGATGTTGCGGTCCACTGGTATCTTCCAACGGTTGGTCCACGGGGCGTAAAGTTGATGCGGTCGCCACACTTGGAGAGCGACTGACACCGACCTGCGGGTACATCGCATACGGATGGCTGGGACCGGTTGCCCCAGTGTAAGGACTCATGGCCCGAACAGGTATCGAAAAGCGCGACGAGATACTTTGACTGCGAGCTGTGGTGGAAGGTGTAGTAGACGCGACGGAATTGCGATTCGCAAAGTCCACCCCCTTAGGAGGAAGACTTGACCGGTGCGGAGTTTCATCGAACGACACTCGTGCCTCATCCCCAAAAGGGTCCTCCGTCAGATCCGCATCGATGGGAATAGTATTGTAGGTTTTCTGCTGCGATTGTTGCTGTTGAGGCACTGATCCGCGTAAGGTATTGGAGGAATTGGTGGAAGAGGTCGATGGACGTCGAGAAGTGAAGGTAGTGTGTTCAGAGTCAAGGGGTTCGAGTGAGTATTCATCGGAAAAGACATTGGGATTTGAGGAGCGAGCCGAAACTGAGCGACGATGCATTGACTCGACTTCGTTCACCGGGGTAAAGCGTGGCGTGGATCGTTGAGAGGATTGTGAGAAAGAGCGAGAATGGTCGGAAGATAGACGCCCGGACATGGCGATGGACAGCCCTGTCGGGCTACCTATCTGATTTGGTCAACCTCTCAAGAGGAAACCGGGTCAGTCACCTGAGTTGACTGAGAACCGGGGAGAATGGGAGGCGCCGAAAAGAGTGACGAGAGGGGGGGGGGAAGAAAGGAGAGAACGGTCGGCGAAAGAATGATGGGAGGGTGGGAAGGTGCCTAAGGGACTGTCGAGAGGGGACGAGTGAGAGAGATAGTCGAGAAGGCGAAATAAAAACGGAACCGAGATGGAGATGGTAGAAGGTAGTGGATAATGGTGGTTAGGTTGGGAGGGTAGAAGGGAGGGTGGTGGTGGTTGTGGTGTCGGTAGTGAGAGTGGAGGTTGAATGAATGAGAGGGAGGGAATCACTACTAGCCGTTTGAGGAGGAGGAAGAGGGAGGGAGGAGGCCCGGGGAGCGGGCGAGGATGAGGTGAGACTACTAGTAACTAACTTAGTTACTGAGTACTCAGTAGAAGAGGGCGTCTGGGCTGCCTGAGGACTCACTCAAGAAAAGGGCCGTTCCCGACCAGGACTAGCGCGAGCTTTTCCCGGGCGAAACTGAAAAGTCACTCAATGACTGGGAACGAACGAAAGAGATGGCAAAAAAGTGGGTTCTTGGAGACCCAGTCGAGTCCAAGTCAGTCGGTCGACTCGGTTCCCATGTCGATCTGCGGTCGGGGTTAGGTTAGTCCTGGCTGCAAAAGTTGGAAATTTTACTTGTCCGCAAAGTCGACACAAAATACTTCCTCTAGGATGAAATACTACTGTATCGAGTACGGAGTACAGAGCACAGAGTACTATTTACAGAACAATTAACACCACATAAACCTGATTACGACGATTGCTATTCTCATCCGGGTGGTGGTTCTATTATTATGAATTTCGGAGGTCTCCTGTTTACTCAGGGCTGCTGCGCCTCGCCACCGCAGGTAAAGCATAGGTTACTTACTACGGAGTACGGAGTAGATAAGTGAAGTACTCATAACTACTCGGTACAACAGTTATTCGTACACTGCTTTTGCCTGTAACAGGCTAACTGCCAAGTAGCTGCTCGGTATCCAAAACAAGTGGACACTTCAAGTAAGGTACAGAACAGCACAGCTCAAAAGACCACTAGTAGTCTCACACTGGTGACGACCGTTAAAAATGGCCCTAGGGCGATTGATACTCGAGGTTAGCAAGGTTCGATCGAATCGTTCAGCATCGATGACCGACACATCATGGATTCTCGAAGGCCTTTTAACACGTCTACATGAGGGCAGGTAGAGAATTGAGTCGACCGACGTGAAACATCCCCACTGCAGTGTCGTCAGAGGCGCTTTCGCAAATCAACTGACAGGCACTTTCGATTGCTAGCGATTTGACTTTACAACGGATAAAGATTTTATCTTCTCCCAGATTCCCACACAGTAGACTTCACCCTCTCGTCGAACAGCCCAGTCACATGGAACCGCCAGGGACGAGAGATCCGTCCATCATCCTCTTCGGGCAACAATCGTCCGAACTCGGACGACTTCCATCTGGAACACTGGACGAGGGTACGGAGTAGATTGGAAAAAAAAATCACACCCTAATGTGGCTATCAACCAGTGGTTTGGATTGGGGAAGGGGGGGCAAGAAGGCTTTCCCACTCAGCGGCGGCAGCAGCAGCAGCATATGTATGAGTGACTGTCTACTCCGTACTGTAGGTCCGTAGGAGCAGGTTCAGGCTTCCAGCAACAAGGGATTGGTTCAAGGTGGAACCGCCAGAACCGTACCTAGCCGATTAGTTCCAAAAGATAGCGCAGTGCCTGGCACCGGGGGAAAAGTCTATCTGGCCGAATTCGGAAACGCGGGCGTGAACCCTTGATTGGCACTCAATGCTATGATCAGCGCCGCACATTGCATCATGACCCTCTCCTTCCAGAGCTGGATAGTTTTGACCGGCCATTATATCACCTGGTATGAGAAAGCGGTTGCTAGTCTGTCCGTTTGCATGCTTGATATGAAAACAGCCCATGCTGAACTTAAATTCGATCTCTTGAGCGTTCGATTGATCCCTTCTACACGTGGCACTGGTGTTCTCCCTAGTCTGGGTAGTAATTAATATTGTGGGTAGTGACTCGCTACC